TCTGGTCCTGTGTTGGCAGAGATTTCTTTTTGCAAGGCATACTGCTGCCATATGTGATAGGCAACAGTAAACTACAGATGAACTCAAAATTGATTGCTGCATTTAAGTATTGCATTAATATTTAAGAATACCTTTTAAAAGTTCAATGATAATTTTTCTGCTACCATTTTAAATTAAAGACAATTTGATGTACATAGGTCCTTACTTTTCTTATAAACAATTACTTTTATTTCATGGGTGACTTCCACTGGATTTTATAATTAATTCTGATTATTCCTGAATTTATTACCAAATTATGAAAATTGTCATTGTGCAAAAAAAAATTGGTTTAAAAAAATCACTTAAAAATTTGCTGAAAACAATCGCAGTAAAGAAAACTTGGGAAACCAAAATTTCAGGATTGCATGTCCGGATCCAGCCTGGGATGTTTTTAATTTGCTCATGTAGTCACCCTGATTCCAAAATGGTATATGTTGGGCTATGGCCTCTAGGTGTAAAGTTGAAAAAAAGTGACACACTGATATTTCAAAGTTAGAGAGTTGTGTCCCATTGACTGAAAATGCCTGGCACACAGGCATTTTTTGCATTTATTATAAAATTGCCATTATATATATATATATATATATATATATATATATATATATATATATGTTGTTTTTCTCAGTGTAGCTTAGATGTGACACAAAGCCAAAAGTCTGGGGCACCCAGTAAGGATTGAACTTACAACTTGGTCATAAATCTTCTAGCAAAACAAACTTGTTAACCATTACACCATGTTGAGGTGCCCCTGTGTTATCATATATAAACTGATTTGTAGGGGGTACCTAGAATTCACTAACTGCATCCCTTGCAGACGGGTAGTACACCTACAAGTGGTGGATCTCCTACTAAATAAAAGCTTTTGAGTTTCAAATATAAACTAGTATTTACATACTCCTGAACCAAACAGGTGCATATCAAAACAACAATAATAATAATAAATAACTGATTTCAACCATAAATTACCCAACAAGGCTTGTTACCAATTTGACCTGTACATATAATAAAAATTTTCACAGTGCACAGATAATACCCTTTGATCCTCAGCAGCACACACTCTGATCCAAGGTAGAAATACCAATCATTCACAATCCCATTTTTTTTCCAAATACTATGCTTATAAGAAGGACTTTTTTTCCTGCAAAAGAAAGCATAATCAAGACTCATCCATATTGCAGTAATATATGATTTGCCTGATCAGATATTAATTTTTTCTTGGTATCTAAAACTTCCATGGTTGTAGGTGTTGATATATGTATATATTTTGTATTTACTTTTATAGTAATTTACTGCATTTTTCTTCAGGTTACTTGCCTTGTCTAAAGAAAGTAATTTGTAGTAATCTTGTAGTTTTCTCTTCTTTCAGCATCTTCTAAATCTATTTGGAAAGGATGTTAGAATAGTCTAGAACTTATACTGGGAGCAAACTGCCTACATATGGTTAGAAAATGAATTGAGTATGTACACAAAATAAAAAGGGGTCGTAAGGCAAGGATTTGTCTTCTCTCCAATTCTCTTCAACTTCTACAGCAAGGTAATCCTAAGGGACCTGGAGACCCTACTAGGATTTATTATTGGGAGACGTAGTCTTAAAATTATAAGATACGTAGATGACACTGTCTTGATAGAAGACACAGAAGGACCTCCTAGAGAAGGTAGTAAAGGAGAGCAAGAAAAAATGATTAGCCATCAATTGTAAGAAGATAAAAATATGGTCATCAGCAAGAGAAAAAGGCTAAGGTCAGAACTACAAATTGAAGATGGTAACATCAAACAAGTATACAAGTTTAAATATATGAGAAGTGTTTTAACAAGATAAGTAATGTGATACCATGATAAATCTGAACTCCTGCACAAAAAATCTAAGCAAAGTATTAAGAAAAGAATGCTGAATTGCTACATGATATCAATCATTGTGTATGGTAATGAATGCTGGACAAATCTCACAACAGATGAAGAGGCAACAGAAAAGTAGTTCTACAGAAGGATACTGAGAATTCTATGGACAGAGTGAGTAAGCAATAAGGTAGTCTTTAAATGGCAACAAAAAGAACATATACTCAGAATCAGAAAAAGTTGAAATTTCTTGGACACATAATGAGGAAGGAGGGCCTGGAAAACTTAACTCTCACAGGACTTACCAAGAGCATGAAAGGTAAAGGGAGGCAGCAGGCAACCTACCTGATGAGCTTGTATGAATAAATCACAGAACTCTGGGCAGGAATCTTGCTAAAGGAAGTAACTTTGCTAAGAACCGCAAGGGATTTGAGGTCATGGAAAGCCATGATCGCCCACATCCTAAAGGGACATGGTACATATAAGAATAATAAAATACAACTCATTTAAATGTTATTTTCTATCAATAATAAGCAAAGCAAATTTTAAATTCTTATGTTAACAATTAAATTTTTTACTACTGTTGTCTCATAACTGTTGTCATGTGTTATATGAAATATGTAGACAAATGTTACAACTATTATGGGACAGACAGATTATTTTTTTTTATAATTCACCCAATATGCATCAAGCATTACATGATACAAAATTTGAAAATTTAATAATAATGGAGAGCTACTCATTTCTAAATATTTCCTGTCTGCAAGGTGGGGTGTTGTCTAATCTCTGCTGCAGGTGCCTGCTAAGGTAAATTTGTGTTTCTTCAACACCTGCAGAGCCTGCCTGTGATTTATACTACAGCTATGCAGGGCACATAATCTGACATGACCACCTGTTTCAAGAAGGCTAGTACATACAAACACTCAGTCACAATGACTTGTAACTTTTTGCTAGCACTAATATCAACAGCTTCCAAACAGTTTTCCTGTATCCATTGCCACTCAGTTACTTAGGGTCAACCTGTGGTATAGTTTTAAGGTACCTCTTAACAATGCCACACCCTGGAATTGTCTCCCTAGGCTGATATTGTCAAGATGTTACCTCCTTGACAAATTGATCATGGTAAGATTCAAACCTGGTTCTCATGCTCAGAACACAAACATTATAACCACTTGGCCACACACCTATATTGTGAAGATCTTACTTGCATTTGTACCATGTGTACTGCTGTTGTAGTAGCAGTGGACTGAGTCCAACTCTCTTCAAGCTGTTTTTTAATTCACAGTTGTCATCCTCCAATACTGGTTGTCCCCAAAGCTAGAGAAACCACTCTGCCCCACTATTTAACTCATAGCTCTGAGGAGAAAAGTGGATTCCCTTCCAAAAGGTATCTTGCATGAAAGTCGATGTAATGAACTCATGTGGAATTTGAACTTGCTGATTTCTTCAGAGCTGCTAAACATTATGCTACCCATACACCCACATATTGTAGATATCCACTTCATATGAAATAATATATTTGCCAGCCTATAAGATATTTGGTGGACTAGTGTATTTAGCAGATGATGTCTCACTGCATTTCATTCAAGCTGTCCGTTTAAAACATCTGGGAAGTGCATAACATTGGCATCATATTTTTATTTTTAAACATATTTTATATCTTCACTTGTCTTAAAGCCAAATTGTAAGTTCAATTTTAGATTTACAAGAGTAATTAGAAAAAAAAAATTCTTCAAAAACTCAGTAAGCTATCTATTCAGAGAAGGTAACTCTAACAATTACTCCTTAGCGTAGGTACCATTTTATGTTGCAATGCTTCTAAATATAAAAATCCATTTTGTCTGACATAAGGTCAGATCAGGTTTGAAAATTTTAGAATGTTTAAATGACAGCTTTTCTTTCATTTTTTTTTTTTAAATCTATTAGGTTATCACACATGAAAATATGCAATTAATAGGAAATGAATAAAATGCTTCTAAAATGTTAAATAACTAATTTATTTAGTTGAAATAGGCAACATGTTTATGAATGACTGTTCTCCAACCTACCTCTAAATTCTTGCAACCATCTTTAAAAAAATTCCCATCTTTTGATGTGATAAACAGTTTAAATGCTTTGATTACCTCTTCCTTATTTGAGAATATTTTATTGTGTGTGTAAAGCTTTTGGACAATTGATTGAGAATCATGCAGCCATGCAGCAAAATTGGGCCATCCCTATTTACAAATCTAGGATTTTCTTTCTTCAGTTTTTTGTACATACACTCAATTTTTCCACTGTACAAGGTTGCTGTTTTTGTTTACTTGAGGCAAGAATGAATAATGAATAACTCATTTGAAAGACCACCATACAGTAACCATTAACTTTTTAGGGTGCAGTGGAGATTTTGGGTATTGTTTTGGTGATTCAGTTGCATTTAACCAATGGCCTACTGTCTTACTGTTGTCAAAGAGTATCTATTTCTCATTGCATGTAGTGATTTGGTGCAGAAATGGTTCTTTTACCAGTCAGGAAAGCAACAGGCACCACAACTTAAAATGATGGGGTTTTGGGGGGGGCGTGAGTCTCATTCAGTTCATGCAGAAGAAATCTATCCAGTTTCATTACTTTTTCAAGTGCCAAGAAACAGTTGTGCTAGATGTTTCAAATTCTGATGCAAATTTTTGGACTGTAGTTCTTGGATTTTGATCAGCCAAAGCATTCAATTGATCATGTTTGATAACCGATTGTTGTCTTCCTCTTGGTTTATTTTCAAGACTATAATCTCACAAGCAAAACTTCTGGAAACATCTCTGTACAGTTCTGATTTCAACAGTACCATTACCAAAGGCTGTCTTGATAATCCAAAATGCTTCAGAGACAGAATGACACAGTTTGTAGAGTAAGATTACTCAACATTGTTTCATTGTAATCATTTTCATTGGGCTTATGAGTAACAATATGTTAAAAGAAAAATTATCTTGAAAGGAATAAGTCAAGATCTTTTTATTTACTAAGGAGGTTACTTAGACAGCTGCATCAAAAACCAATCAAAAAATGTGTCATTTCATGTGTGCCAACCTAATTTCATGATATTTCAAGTTTGAATTAACATTGATGATTGTATCTTTTTGTTTGTTTTCCAGTTCCAATCAGTTGTATGAAGGAAGTGCGGTTGGGAATGACAACTGAAGCACTACGGAATCGGGAGATCATGGAATTCTATGCAGAGGAGTGTGCCTTCTCTATTATATTTGGGGATAACTTTGAGACTATGGATCTCATTGCAACATCAGCTGATGAAGCTAATATCTGGGTAACTGGATTAACTTGTCTCATGAATGCAAATGCCAGTTCCAAGGGCTGCAAATGTAAGTTTCATTATTATTATTATTATTATTATTATATATTGATGTCGTCAGTGAAAACTCTGTTTTTGAGGCATGGTGTCAACAAAACTTGTCAAAACTTCAGAACTTTTTTTGAGAATTCTTGCAAAATGGGTGGTAATTTCTTGGAGGTCTACTATTTTGCTTTCAATCCCACTTTCCCTATAAATATTTCCATGGCAATTGTTCTGATGGTCTTGCCTCTTTTAGTGCCTTGAGCTCATGAATTTAAGCATAGTACTTGATTAGTTGCAAAGTCTCATCATTTTACTGTTGAAATTGCTGGTTATTACTGTAAGTTCTATTCTAATAGTTTCTTCTCTCACACTTCTTCTGTGTGGAACTCTCTTTTGGCTTCTTTGCTTTCCTGTCAATTATGATCTTGAGAAACTTAATGCAACATCATCATCTTCTTGAATCCTGTTATTTAATTCTCCTTTCTCCTCAATAACATTTTTTTCAGCTTCTTTCACTCTCACTACCTTAGAGATTATACCACCTTTCTTAGAGTGAAATGATTAAAGAAAAAAGTGTTCTTTTAGGTTTCTTGCTAGTGTTTCAAGTGCACTTACCACTACAGGAATTACTTCAACTATTATTATTATTCTATCTGAAAAGACCAATTTAGTTGTTTACACTCAAATTCAAAAATGTTCGCTGCTTGACTGGATTTATTTTTGTCATATTTCTAATGGTATGTTGTAACTAATTCAGCTGTGAATTACTTAATTATAAAGAACAAAAAATAGAATGCAGCTAAAGTTAAACTTAGCTTTATAGATTGCAGGATAAAAGTAAAAGGTAGAAAATATAACAAGAGCCAATCAGGATCAAGTTGAAACATAGACACTCATTGGAAGTAGTAAATAGTTGTCTGAATAGTTGTCAGCTGGAGCATTATTATTATGAATACTTTTCCTCTTATTATTGTTGCTTTCTATCACAACAAAACTAAAACCAAAAGAAGAAAAACTCATCAAGAAACTGAAGATTCATTTTTGATCTTCAGACAACTGAAGAATATTATGTCTGAAGGTTTCAACAGTTTTCCATAGACTTAAAATTAGGCAATGAAGAAGACTGCAATATAACTACATTATACTGACATCTGCTGTTTGGCTTTTGTTGCCTAATTGGTTAGGCACTGGTCCTGTCAGACATGTTCCCAAGTGTCGAGAATGAGAGTTCAACTCACATTAGAACCTTGGCTGTTTTTTTTAATTTTCAATCTATGCTGCTTGTTTAACATTTACAGGATTTGGAACCAACAAAAATATGATGGGAAACAGTTTCAGTTTTATTAACTGAAGCATTGTTAACTGTTAATAAATGTTGATAAGTATTTCTTTTAATTTCATTTACTTTTCATGAAAAGTTCCAACAGCTGTAGAGTGGCAGTCAAAGTGTTTTCAGAAAGATGTATGCATAAGCCTGTTTCAAACCCAATAAATAATTGTATTTTAATCTAACTCTCCATTTATGTGTGTGTATGTAAGCTTTCCCTGAATGTGAGGGAGAAATGCTAATAATCTTATATGTTAAAATATTTCATATTTTTGGATAAAACTTATATTGGCTTTATTCCACTGAAAGTTTGTATGAAAAGAAGTTTTGTCAAATATAAGGAAAATTGGAAATTTTTAAACAATATTATGCAAATTTGGCAAAAATATGATATTTGCCTCCAATGAAACAGTTAAAATTAAGCAGTTATATTTCTTACATAAGTGAACTGGCCAATATAGATAACTGCAAAAAGGGAAAGAAATGCTGAAAGGAAAACTATGTGCTCAATATATTAGAAAAATTTATTTTCTATTTTTACAAATTACATATTAAGCAAATAAATAAGAGTTGTAAAAGGATAATACTTCTAAAAAAGGAGCTCTTGCCTTTTTAGAGGTTAATAAGATATATTTTAAATTGTATATAAAGGTTGCAGAAGTTGTTAATTTTTGTGTAGGTTGCTCAGATATGAGGATTTGTTGAACTATTCATATTGTGTTTCCAGATACATCTGGAAAATAGGAATTTCTGCTGGTTTTGTTGAAACTGTTTTTTCTGTGAGTGTAAGAGTTGGTGTCAACAATGTTAAGTAAAAATCAGTTGTATTGTTGATGATCCATTACTGAACAAAACTACTCTTTGAGATGGTTGACCTCTCATAACTCCAAAGTGTCCTACTTTCATAAGTCAAAATTTTAGTAGAAGTGGTCAGGTTGAGTTTTGCAAAATTTTATTTTTTCAGATTATGACCTTGACTTCATTTTGGTTCTCCTCCTTTTTCCAGTTCTTGCCCAAAAGGCAATTCTGAAACAAATGGTTTTCATTGTTAGATTTCGGCACAAATATTTAACACCCATTTCCATTCAATTTGCTGATGATACATTCATATCAGCATCTACAAGTTGAAGTTTTTAAATATTCTATTTTAAAAAATATCTTTCAAATAAAATACTTTATTTTAATTTTTCAATCATTTTTCATATAAAGTAAAAAATAAAAATTTTAATTAAATTTTTATTTAAAATTTTCAAGCACATTTTTTTTAAATCTTCTAAGTATTTTCAGACCATTATGATTTTAGGTTTCTAAGACCATGCCATTAGTAAAGATCATAAAAATGAATTAGTAAATCTAGATTTGTTGATATTGGAGGTAGCTAAGTATTTGAACTGCTGATTCAATTTGAAGTGATTTTTTTTTATTCTAAGTTGTAAATCTGATGTGGATATTTTACTTCAGGGTTTGAGATTTAATTTAACCAAGCTATACTACTTCAATGTTTTCTTCAGGAGTGACACACCTCTACAGTTAGAGAAAACCTACAATCTGAAGTCCTAACTCTCATTGCTCTACCTTAATTGGCCATGGCCTGTCAACCATTTATGACTAAAAGTGCTCAAATGAACCTATATATTTCATATGCTTATAGTCTGGGTGTGCCTGAATGCACTGTATTTCAATACACAGGGTTAACACCTGTTACATAATCAACTAGAAGTACTGGAAATCTAAAACTTTTGCAAATTTGTAGATTTCCAAAACCATATTTCATAATCAGTAGTACCAAAGAGATTGAAGAGTAGAGTCAGCTACATGCCCTGTGCACTGTACTCCACCTAAAACTTCAATAGTGAAAAAATTATCTCATGTTTTTGCAACTGATATGTGACAGTGGCACTCTCCTAAATCTTCAATCCCAAGCCATGATTTATTTGAATTTTTTTAATGAAGTTTAATATAATGTACTATTTTGATGCGAGTATTAAGAAAAAATGCAGAAAATGAAAGGATCTGATTTTAATTCAATGCTCCTGAAATCTTGTGCCCGTGGAGGTAAAGGAACTGATATCTCTTTTCTTTCTGCATTTGTCTCTCTTTTTCAGTTACTCATCTACCCATACCTAAATAATATATATAGCTATATGATTGCCAAACTAAGAATAAGTTCTGTCAGACAAACTATTAAATTTATCTGATGATAGGTGGCAAGACTGAAGGATGTGAAACTTCATGTCCAATTCTTATCAAATTGCTCACTGTACTGAAATTTCTTGTATTGGATTTTTGGATTAATATTTTTGTGATGTCAATGAACACTCCTTGCCACTTTTGTGATGTCAACAAATACTCATTGTCACTTTCATAATGCTTGTTGTAGTAGAGACTTTGTAATCGCAGATACAACTATAGTACACAGTTGAACAATACTGGTGTCAGACACCTTTGAATAACTTGCACTAGTAGTTCTTGCTCGATAATACTAGCTTGAACAGTAACCCGTATCATGATCTGAATAGAAAAATAGTATAGTGAATAAAGTAGAGAATAATGGTCCATATAGTAATAGAGGATAGAGTAGAAATGGTGATCTGAATATTAATAGAGGATAAGCTAGAATTGGAGATCAATCTAGATGTCACATGACTTCCTATATATGTGTTTCCTCTATGGTCACGTGATCCAATAATGGGATTGCCTGTGGTTGCTCAATGACAATCTATGTTCAAACTCAAGTGTTGGCAGTGACACTTTATTCCTATATCACAAATATATTTCTATAATCTATTATTTTCTTCACCTGTTATACTTATATTTAATTTTATTTATTTAGATACTCCCAAATATTTCTTTTAGAATTTTAATATTCATTTCATATATTCCAGTTTTGTTATAAATCTGTATACACATATACAAAAAATAGTACTAAAAAGTTCTCAGCCTGACCACAAAACTCTTCTAAGCAGAATACAAATTTTGTTCTTTGGTCAAACTTTGTAAAGCAGGGAGATCCAAAAATCTTTCAGCCATCCTTTGAATGCATTATATACACACTCACCAGTCACTTTATTAAGCATACTCTTCTAGTACTGGTTTGGAACCCCTTTTGCCTCTATAAATACCTCAATTTTTTTTGGAGGTGTCAGGGGAATGGATTCAACAGTGTTCTGGAAGCACTATTTCAAAATTTGGGTCCATATTGTTGCTATGGCATCCCACTATTTTTTGAGATTGATTATCTTCACATCTAGGATTTGCATCTCCATTTCCACTACATCCCAAAGGTTCTCTGTGGCATGTCAAACTGAAGGTCCCCTGATAGTGACATGGTCTCATATGTGTTGTCATGAGAGCCACACATGACAACCAATTGTGTACATTGCAACTCATTGGAGTCATTTAATAAAATTTATAGCAAAATATTTTCGTTACTTAGATTTTGAGGAATGCAATGTGCATACAAATTTTTAACAGGATTCATGCCTACTGAAGTAGCATGATAAAAAAGAAATTTAAACAACATATACTTGCTGTTTGCAACAGCAACCAATACATTGTACAAAGACTACAACAAATCAAAAAAGAATCTGAAATATTACTGGTACATTTAAGATACAGCTAACAGTTAAAAGAGATAAGGCAATTTTGATAATGTCTCTAAAACATTTTTTGACTGACATTTCACCTTTAAAAGCAAA